AGAGAGAGAGAGAGAGGATGAGGGTGGAATGGGGTGAGGGTGTCGAGGGTGTTGCTGCTGCCTAAAGAGATTGGGGTCAGGAAGAGCAAAGGCACAGAGATGAAGGCTTAATATACCTTCTTGGCTGCGTTTGCTCGATCGCAAGCGGGCCTGCAATAACGATGATAATCGCAGCGAAAAAGCCACGCGCAAAGAGGCTCGCTCGGCTATAGGCTCGGCTCGGCGAAGATGTTGGTTCCTGTGGCCAGGAACGGACTTCGTCGTCAGAAGAACAGCTAGGCGAGGCGTGGAGGTGAGTGTGCATGTAGTGTAGCACAACGCACTGCACCTGTGTGCGCGTACATGCAGTCAAACTTCGCATCAAGAACGACGACGACGGACCAGAAATCAGAAAGAATCCCATCCGCCACAATCGCAAAGCTGAAATTTTGATCAACAATTAGACGCTGCGCGCTGCCGTCTAGCTGCTGCTGCCAGCGTCTTGGCCCGAAAGAGTCAGTAGAGTAGTAGAGTGGCGAGTCGCGGCGGCAGTAGTAGCTAGCTAGCTGCATATGCCGCTAGCCTGCCTCACCAGCACGATTTTTGATGAGACCTGTGACTATATGGGTGCACACCGCACCGGGACAATCACGAGTACCATATGTAAGCGTCGCGTCTTGAGGCGGCGCCTCGGTGCAGAAGCGCGGTTGCTCGATCGCAGCGAGTAGTAGCAGTCACGCGAGTGCAGTCAACCCGCGGCGAATAGATGACGATGAGCAAGGCAAGCATCACAAATCATTATTACCGTACACAGCACAGAAGTGAGTGTCTTGCTGCTGCTGCTGCGTAGATTGACTTTTTGTCTGTTGCAGCTCGCACCTCGGATGTGAATTGGCGAGCTCCATGCTTATCGAAAGGCTGATCAGCTGGGTCTGGAATCAAGCCTAGCTGGAGTCTAGCTGCTCGCTCTTGTCGCGAAGAAGCATGATACGGCCGGCAAACACAACACGCATTCCAAAATTGTGGCGACGCGCAATCATATGATTGACCTTGGCGGCTGATGCTGTGGACTCACCTCTATTCTACACCTACGCGCGTCTGACATGTCCGAGCACCAATCTGAATCAAACGGTGAACACACGCCCCAGCAATTAAGCTGTTCGCGCAGATCGCAATCGGTGCATGCTGTGGCTGGATGCATTCGCAATTTACATGTTCGTACAGCAATTAAACACCTTCAGTCGGCCTCACTTGGCCACTCCCATCCTGCACTCATTCCTACTGACGAGCCCTGAGCATCTCGTGACCGTGACAACGTCCTTGCTGCTGTGGGATTTGCGTGCGTGCGTGCGGGGAGAGAGCGCAGGAAGAAGCGGAGCATCGCCAGCGAGCTGCCAAGGCCATAAAATGGGAATGGGTGTATGCATGGTGGCGTGGCGCGCGACTATTGCTGCGAGTGCAGCTACACAGCTTGCAGCATCATCACGCGCCACGCCGAAGGGAGGGGAACAGCACAGCATACGCACTCGATCACTCACTCAGACTCTGACTCACATGCGCTCACACCCAAAAAAATTCCTGCATGGGCGGTGCCGCGAGGGCGAGCGAGACATCATGCAGAGTAATCAGATCCAAATAATCAGCACGCATGCACGCATGCATGCAGGCGCGGAGTTGGGGGCTGAGCAGACGCATTCAGATTATTATTCACGATGAATTGGTGCACGAATCAATTCAATTGTCGTTGCATGCAATTAAGCATGGCTCGGCGGCGTATGCGCCGAGGAAAGTACTCGGTTCCGACTTTTTTATTTTTTTATTATTTTTTTATTTTTTATTTTTTTATTTTTTTGTTTTTTTTGGTGAATCAAGTACGTGCAGCCAGAGGTCGCGCGATTTGATGAAAAGAGTCCGGTCCGGCTCGGCTTGCTTTGCCTATTTGCCACACTCTGATGACTGTTGCGGGTAGGTACGGTGGGTGCTGACCGCATGACTCAACTCAAGACTTTGTTTTCGCTGCTGCCATGCATCACAAGCCCGCAACGCGAGTGTCAGTTCTGAATCGGACCCGGTGAAAGGGTGGAGGGGAATCAGTGTCCAGGGACGAGGCATGTCTGGATCGCTAATCATTTTGCTCCTAGCAGCTCGATCCGCTGGAGAGATCTGATCAGCCGAGAGGCGTCCGCTCCTCTCACGAGTCGAGCCTTTCGCACAAGCTCAACGAACGAAGACATCAATCGCAACGCTCCGACTACTGTGTCGGATTCATTGGGCATGATGGGTGCCCACAGAAAGTACATTCGTGACCGTTGACCGTGTCTCTGATCAGAGTGAAGGCAAGCGTATCAGACCGCCGTCTTTCGGCACCGCCGCAAGCCCACCTCGGCGAGCAATGGCGAATGGCGAATGCAGGTGCAAGGCAGCCAGCCACACTCAGATCGCATGTTTGATTTTCGACATGCACGTTTGTGTGGAAAGCCACAGTGGCGTTCACTCGGGCCGAGCACGCTTCGATTCTGCTTCTGAATGGCAAGCCCGGGTGAAAGCGGAATGGCTCAATCGAGCAACTTCTGAGAGATCAAAATTAGACCCTTGCTACCTGGACCACATCGACTTGTGACACCGTGCCGCGAAATGTATCTGCCGATAGGCCCTCACAACGACGCGCGATGGAAAGCTCCGACACGACAGCGAGTCATTGTCATTGTATCAGATTGGCTTCTCCTTCGGAGCGGGAATGCGCTCCATGGGCTTGTGCTTGTCCCGTCGGATCAAAAACAGCAAATCACACGGTCACCTTGGCAAGCCGGGAAAAGATGCACGCTGCCGACATGTAACGACATGTTGTCCCTCGGATCAAGTGCGACAACAACCTGACCTGACACTCACGCTTTGCATGATTCGGAGCCGAAGTCTATCCTCACGCGCGCCAGGGACCTTCCAAGCAGGTGGAGCTCAATTGACGAAGCACTCGCCGCACATGCAGGTAAAACGCTGCGTTATGTACCGCGCGCTCGCGAATTCAAGAAGTAAGTACAGGAAGAAATGAAGGGCAGACATTGGCCTGCATATTCGCACTGTGCGAATCACGCTATCAGAAGGGCTCAAGAGAAGATCGGGCGCTAGCAGCTTTCCATCACGAAAGTGCGTGTCCCGCGGAGGCAGCAGACGACGAAATGGCAGACGCTGGCCCGTCCGAGCTGGCTCCCATCGAGGGCAAAGCGCTTTGAGGCGTGAGAAGGGACTCGTCGTTCGTCGTGCCAGATTGTCCGCTGTAAGAGGCGCCTTCCGGGTGATCTCTTCTGCGCCCGAGCAGCGGTTGACCGTCAGCTCCGCGGGGAGGTGGGGCTGGCACCTCGTCCGGAACAGAGATCGAATCAGCTTCTCTGCTCCAACCCCTAGGCGTTCTCGCCTTTTCCAGTTCGCCGGGCGTGACATCAAGATTCGCGTTCATTGGAGAGGCACTTGCGACATGCTCTTCTGGTCCATCTGCGCTATGTGCTTCGGCGGAAGCGTCTGACACGGTCCATTCCTGGCCACCAGCGCCTGGTGTTGTAGCGGCGCGAGAATGAAGGCCAGTGTTCAGAGGCGCCAGCGCAGCATGGCTTGGATGTGGTTGCAGTTCAGCCTGAGCTTCGCCACGAGGAGCAGCAGGCTTCATCGGCAAGGAAGCGGACCAGTCGTGCTCGCTCAAGCCAGAAGAAGAGAGAAGATCAGAAGGCCTAGGTGGCAGCGGCGGCCGGTCAAAGCTAAGTGAGCCTGGTTCGGCGGTGGAAGCTGCATCGTCGATGAGAGGTGACAGCGGCACTGCAGTCTGTTGATGCGACGGCAGTGTAGGAGAAAGAGCGTTGGGGGTGATAGCGTTGCTGCGCTTCAGCCCAGCAGAACTGCCCAGAACAAGAGGCGCATCTGCCGAGCTCGACACGGGCTCCACCTCGGTTGCCAGAGGATTGCCCTCTGGCACCTCGAGTGGCAGTCCGGTGGTGATGGGGACGTGCGGCAACAGTGGAGCTCCAGCAGTGGTCAGATCGAAAATTTCTTTGGACCAAATAATCATGTCTTCCATCACGCGATCTTCCTCCATGGCGGCCGCCAAAGAAGTCGTCTCATGATCGGCTTCGGACAATAAGACAGGTCCGAAGACGACGGAGAGGTTGGACGCATTCTGTCAAATTCGCAGTGCCTGGGAGGTGAGAAGGCGGGGAGATGGGGCGCATCGAGCAATCAAAGCGCACAAGCCGCTCACCATCTTGTTGACATCCGAGCGGTCAGCGACCTTGGCGAGATGCAGTGTGATAGCCTTCAAGACGGCTTGGTTGATAGGGGGCCTGAAAGACGCAGGGGTGTGGTCAGGCATTCAGCGACCGGCGGCGCGACGATATGTAGAAGACTCACAATCGTCTGATGCGACCTTTCAGAGACGCAAAGCCATTACTGACAGCTTGCTGCCTCTCGTGAGTACTGGGCAGCGGGTATGTGGCACAGAGTGAGCCACCGCAGCCTGCTGATCTTGTCGGCTGGCTTTGACTAAGCCAACTTACTGCCGGACACGTTCTTCCCAAGGCATGGGCATAACAGGCTCAGGTAGCTGTCTAAGATACAGCTTCAGAAGCCCCGCCACTGCGCTTGGCTCGGTGTCTGGCCCGAATTGGAACCTTTCTTCATCCTTCTCGACGGCATGGGCCAAATTTTGCACAGTTGTATGCTTGGCGCTTGTTCGGTAGATACCTGGCTGCTCAAGTGCGTGCGCCTCTACGAAATCGATGCACTTGGTGATGACTAGCGGAGGCTCCACACGCGCTGGGCCAAGAACCGGTGCCGAATGTTGTGCTCGAGAAAAAGCGTAGTCGATCAACGAAGTACCGAATCTGTGCAGGCGCGGGCTTGCCTGTAAATCACCAGCTCTAGCTCCAAATCTTTCTGACGGCGCAAGACTCACATGAGATCCTTGCATTCGCCGTGGAAGCTGCGGTGGTTGTGAGCGAATGTGCAATCAGTATATGACGTCCCGGTCTAGATGCAGTGCCGCAATTGGGGCTCCTCACTAATTGTGATACGCAATGGGCCCTTCATCAAGTAAGTCCAGGCCAGGCAAGCGCTGTTCGAACCTCGTGATTTCCTCGTCCAGATGATCATTGGCATGCGCCACAATATCCTCCGCCAAATGATGCAGGCTGACGGCTGTGGAGTGTAGCGTCAGTCCAGCCCTTTCACTCTGGAGCCAGACAATTTGCGAAGTGTTGTAAAGCTCTTTCCTGCACTCTATGGCAGACCTTGTGGCTGCTGCCACCGTTTTCTCGCGCCTCAAGCGAAGGGTCTCTAAATCGAAGATGGCTTTCCGGTATATCTTGTCGGCTCTGGGCGATAAGTGTGCAACGAAGGTCAGGCTGCCGAAGGAAGCCTCCGAGCTTGCGTCTCCGCCGGCATGATTCACTCACTCTTCTGCTTCCCGCTTCGCCTTCACATTCTTCAGCGCCATATTTTGAGCGCTCTTGATCGTACCAGAAGCTCCACCAAGGCCTTCAGCACCGCCTGCGGGACTTCCTACTTCTGGACTACCACCTACGCCCCTCTCTGCGCCTTCTCTCATCCTGCTGATAAACGCGCCAAACTTCTTTGGCGCTTCTTTGCGAGCTGCTTCCCAGCCTTCCTTAGTCCGAAGTGCGTCCAAGAAGTTTGGCTTGCCAGTATTGCTGGGCGGAGAGAATCCCACTCCGCCAGCGCCGGCGGCAGCCCGGATCGCCGCCTCTTCAGTACTGGATAGGTGTTCCTCTCGATCCGACACGGCCCCGCTGCCACTGCTAGGCAACCGCGCATGACCTCTCGCTTTGTCCTTAGTAGATTTCGTTCGGCGTGGACTGCTTCTCATCGCGGCTCCGCTCCCATCGCTGGTAGGAGGGGAAGAGCCATATGCTAACTCTTCGTATGCCTCGGAGCCGGGCTGGGTGGAGGACGCGGAGAAATCTCGAGACATGCCGGATGATGCCAACAACATCTTCTGGTCTTCTACCGCTTGTTGCTGCAGCCTGATCTGTTCCACCTTCGCAGAGCAGCATTGAAGAGTATCGTTAGTGCCAGATTTTAGCACAAAGCGACGCTGCTATATCATTGGCCCACTCACCTCTTCACACTTCTTCTCGTACGAGCGCTTCGCCCTGGGAAGCGTCACATTGCGCATCTCCTCATATCGGCCGCAGCTCGTCTTGAGATCCTCCTTCACTCTCTTCCTGATCCGCTCTTGAGAGTCGCGATAATGATGCAAAGGAGCAATCACGCCTTGCTTGAGTGTTTCAATATGACTTAGACGCACGTCAATCTCTACCAGGATTGCGGGAATGACATCATGAGCGCATGTACCATGACAGGAGGGGGAGCCGGACTTGCGCAGAGTCTGCAAGGTCTCACCTCTCAAGTCGTTCTCACGCAGCTCCCTCCACGCCCTGCGAGCACCGGGAAGGTCTGACGTCCCAGGCAAAGCGCCCGCTGTCACATTGATGCGGCTGAGCCAAGCAAGATAAAGAAGGAGGGCGGATGGGAGTCAGGAGGACTGGAGCATTCTGACGAAGAAGACGTTGTACTGCGTAGACCACTGACGATTCGATGCGGACATCATTCTCCCTCTGTTTCTCCGCAAGAGATCTGAGGCCCCTCGTATAATCCTCCTCCAGCTTGACTCTAGCTTCGTAGAGGCTCAGATAGCTCTCTGCTTCGGTGATGCTCAACCTGAAAGCTTCGACCAGAGAGCTGCTAACGTCCGATGCGTTCAAGATGCGATCCGATGGCAGCAGATCGTGGGATCTGCGACCCACCACCATGCGAGGGTCCATGTTGTGCGCTTACGGAATGGCAACGCAGGGCGCCTCCGCGGCGATTTGAGACCTCGTGGCGACAAACCTTCCTTACCCGGCGTGTGTTGTGATGGTGGTGAGCAAGTGTCCGGTCGGGATGGCGTACGGACGTCTCCGGGAGATTGATGAGTGTTGCAATGCGCGGGTCGCTGATGTCTAGATGTTTGGTCAGCGACCCGAATCAGTGCTGGAACATGCGATGGTTGTGCAAAGGAAGGATCAGCAATCGCATTTGTTCAGTCGTGAATTGTGAGTGATTTGAGCCAAGGCTCGAAGCCTTGTCACCTGCCAGATGTCTCCGCCCTCGACACTTCAGGGTCTCGGGCGGCAGATATACCCGCCGTGCTTTACAAGGGACGCGCGCCGCGGCTGTGGGACGAGCGACGACTATGTATATGATTCGTGCTGAGTAAACTGCTACTGTGCGCTCGACCCAGAGGCGGTATACGGGACCAGTATTTTTTATACGGTACATGCTGTGCGGTCAGCAGCATGCACGCACGGACATGCGGCAACACCCTCACTCTTGGCTGGCGCGCTGGTGGGAGGGAGCTCAAGGCAGATACTTGACCGATGCGGGGCAGATATGCACAGCCAGGTCTACCACGCAAGTCACAGTCGTGAGTACCATTCATCATTCACATTGCTTCATAGGCTGCTTCAACGACCGCCACACCCCTCAGCATCAACACCCAGCCCCCAGCTCATCATCGATGGCCGGCAGATGTACAGGTGAAGAGGTCAACGACCATGACTCGCGCTGACACCCTGCGGCCGTCGCTCACCGAAAATGCACCTCGAGGCCGCCGCCGCCGCTCGCTGCACTCTGCCGACTCACGATTGCGGCACCTCAGTTGACGATTGGGCACAACATCGCCAACCAACTCACGGAGCTGTTCACGAGCGGTGACGCGTGTGGGCTTCCCTGCTCACTTCCTTGCTATCCTGCGGCATCCAGAGCGAGGCAGAGGGAAATCCTTGTGCATGTTTGCCGTCTGACCCGAAGGTGTCCCTCGACCGACCATCTTATATCCTCCCTGTATCCGCGGCGACTGATGTCCTGTCAAGCAACGGACCACGGACCAGCAGGTGATCATCCCGAAGTTGAGCGCGCCGGCACGTGGAGGGTGTCCACCTCTTGCCGACATCTCTTTGCACCGCGCCCAGATCTCTCTGCGCTAGATGGAATTCAACGACAGCCTCGTTGCTCTATTCATCTGGAGAATATCGGAGTGCAAAGACTCCGTCATGAGCCAATGCGCGCCAACGCTTCCCCGTGCGACACCGGAGAGCTGGGTCGACAATCTTATCACTCGGTGCAGCTCTACCGTATAGGTATCGATCATGGCTGTAGTACCACACCACCTCACTCTGACTCCTCTGCTCCCGTCCTGACCTCAAAATTCTTGTAAAGGCGAAGAGACGCGTCTTGAAAAGCCAGAGATTGTATTGTTACAAGCAACGGCTCTCGGTATCTAGGATCTTTGGTGTAGTGGTATCATGTTCGCTTAGGGTCTAAGACTCTCTTTGCGAGACACAGCTATGTGCGTGCGACCTGGGTTCGATTCCCGGAAGATCCCCTTTTGCCGTCCCGAATAAAAAAAGGCAAACAGCCGCAATAGTCGCCCTAGGGCCAACTGTTTTGCCCTTGCGGCAGGTTTTTCCAAGTTTTCCCGGTCGCCTCGTATAGAGCTACACGTAGGTCCAACTTTCAGCGTAAACGGACCAGTTTTCGTGGAGATATGGCAAAAAGCGCGCGTGAGCGCGTCGATATTGCCCCCTCATTTCCCTCTCATTTGACCTCGATGCGAGCGCTATATGCTCCACAGATGCCTTATGATCTTCATCTTCCTCGTACACATAGGGTCACCACTTTAGACACATCATACAAACTCTGAGCATCCTCCGATCCCCACCTTCCGAGATATGGGCGAAAAGGTGTTTTTAGGCCGACCAACAGCTTTTCACACCTTTTGCTGGATTACAGCACTGGTGTCCCCTTTTAGACTTTCACACCCACCTTGCCCCACGTAAGCAGGCTAGAGTAGGCCCCATGCAGAGTTTGAATGCCAGTTTATGCGGTCGTCACCGACTAACTGCCACTAAGGGTAAAATCTGTCAACAGGCGCGCGTACCCTACTGACCTGGAAAAACACCTTTCTGGCCCTAGGCGGAGAGAATACGACAGCCAAGTCCAAACCTCTTACTGCACGCACTAGGGGACGCCTATGGGTCTTGCCAGACAAAATTTCAGGGCAGGTTTGTCTTGTCACTACCGCGCTGCCGTCGTCTACGGCGATCTCTGTCAACAGGCACGCAGGTCAAGCTGATTCCATTTCGAGTCTCAGACATCTGGGAAACGCTGCTCCGGGCTGATTTTGGCCTCGGACCGCAGTAACAGGGCGAGAAGGACGCTCATACAACTTCTCTGTGCAGAATCATGTTGGCATCGCCGACCAGTCACCACGACGAGGGGAATTTGCCAACAGGCATGCGTGGTTTGGCGGTTCTATCAACGCGTCTTCCTCACTAAAGACAGGCCCAATGACACTGGGTCTCGTCACTACTTCAACGCTCACAAAGGACTCAGATGAGCTCTTGGCAGTGAGCCGAGCTGGGAGCTCTGCCGGCGCTGTTGATACCAGGGGTAAGACGTGCCAGCCAGCAAGCGCTGATAGCTAGACTCGACATGGACGCACATGCATGGCCGGCATAGGCCCAACACTCAGGGCATGCGCATTTGCAGTGCAGGGGTTTCCCTCTCCTGGGGAAAGTGCTCAGTACCTCACCTGGACTTGACCGGCGCGGGGGCATCCTGCATCCTGATCGCATGGGAGGGGGCCGCTGACGGACACGCATCCGCCTTCAACAAGGGGCACTGACAGCACGACCCCCCTCACATCACACTCCAGCAACAGGTTTGGAAACGGATCTCATTGGGACTAGGAGCGGGTCCTGGGGCCCGAGAGTTTGGCTTCGGGAGGGGACGTTACGACGCCAGCTCTGCGAACACAGCTCGGGCGCTGGGAGGAATGGGCGGTCGGTAAGTGTCGGGTACCCTCGATCACGCAGGACATGACGCCTCATTGGGGTTGGATCGATCATCGGTTTCCTCTTGAGGTGTGACCTGTGTTCCTCCACTGGCCGCCGTGAGTACCTGGTACTGACCTTTTGCTTGGGAAGCGCTGGCTGTCGGCCCTATGCTCGAAGAGGACGGCCTGATTGGGCTGCACCGGACGGGGTGTACGATCCTGTCCATAACGGCTAAGTGGATATGCCCTGGTGGAGGAAAGTGTGCGCAAACAGGAGTGGAAATGAGTGCGTGTTTCTCTATGACTACTGAAGGCCCCGCACGTACGAATTGAGATCGGTCTGGACCATCAGCACAGCCATGGCACTCCACCTTGATGCCTTTTGAGACAGGTGCTGCGAAGAACGCCGCGAATAGCCACGCTGAGACTTCCCTTGTGCCCGTTAAGAAGTCAGATCGAAATGCTGGCCCTTCGCGCCTCGAGGTAGGGAGGCATGCGTCTGTGTTACCCTCCGCGAACGTTGTGGCGAAAGAGCCATGGTCGATACCAATGCGCGCACGTATGTGACATCGGTCGTGCTCCTTATTGAACAACTTTTGGTGCCACTCGCCCGCCTTTACCTCTCAACCTTTGTACCTTCGCACGCTTCAGCAGAGTCGACCGCGTGACGGCACACTTCAGACGTTCCCCGAGTATAGTACATTGGCTAATCACCGAAGTCTCAGGATTTGCGTCATGATGTCGTGTCTAAGCATGGCGTCCGAACGATATAGCTCCTCGGGCAAAGTGCGACAATTTACCGCGCCAGTCCCTATGTTTGGCACATCCTGCGACACCATGACACCCATTGCAAACTCCTTGTCACCTTGGGCTGATTTGTAGTAGTCCTTCGATGTGCGGAAGTGTGGCACTTGCTGATGACGGTCCCCCTGCTTTACTGCTAACCGCTCGAAAGGGCAAGTATACTCCGCCGTCTGCTTCTGCTTCCTCACTTTGACTCCCTGCTCCCATGCTGGGTGGCGTCGTGGATCCGACTCCGGGTCGAACAGGTGATTGTAGGTTTTCCGGTCCTGGCAAAGTGCGTACAGACAGTGTTCAAATGAAACATATGCTGCTCCCTTGTGAATGTTCACCGATGAAGGAAGGATGCGACCCAGGCAAAACAGAAGAGGGTACAGAACGTGCTTCCGTAAGAGATGAAGCTGTTGAAATCTCCTAGCGACCTCACTAAGACTACTTAGTTCTAGTAGTCCCTTCACGTGCGGCATTTGCCCGGCAAGAAAGTCGGATGGGAGGCCTGCCCTGCATCCCTGGTTTAAGAGGGCTGCCAATTTGACTCCAGATGCACCAAGGACCACCAGAACTGTCCAGGTTCCGGCACTTGCAATCAACTGTGCCAAGGCTACACCCTCTGTTCTAGGTCTACTATTCCTTCCTGCCGAGTATAAGCCGTGGCGAAGGTTGAAGAGATGTCCACCTACCCGAAGGAGCAGCGCTTCTATGACTGCCGCGCTACCTGCTTGGTCGACTCGGGTTGCACCAAAGAGCTGCTCCAATCGCGTTTTGATTGCCTCGGGGGTGGTCAATGGTCCACCCGCATCCTCCGTTGTATGCGTCTTGTCCATCAGGGTCTTCCACGCCCTCAGGACTGTCTGTACTCCGCGGTCCACACTAAGCCCAGGCTGTGCTTCTTTGGGCTCCCAACGATACCCCGTGAGGCTTACCAATACTTCGATCCAGGACCTAGCGAACAGATCGGCCTGCGGATGGACCCTACAATAATCCAGGACGGATTGCTCGAACGCCAGTAGTTCCATTGCGGCGACAGCTACGGGCACCTCCGGCTCTGGCATCACTACTCCTGCCCTCTCCGCCCTCTTCCTCTCGCTCCTCCTCGCTGCAGCAGCTATGTTCCGCCACATGCTTTTGATCTGGCTGGATCCAACCACCTTGGCCCCTTCCAAAGTCCATTGCCTTGCACTTTTGGCTTTCTTATTCCCTGCCGCTTTCTTAGAGACCTTGCGCCTCCCCTTCGCTTTTCCCCCGCCGCCTCCCCTTGAGGCGATCTCACCTCCTTGCACTGCATCTCCGCCTGCCATGTCTCCTTGCCAACGCGCTTCCCCTACCACTGCGGCGGCCCTGCGTGGCCTCCTATGTGCGATGCTCTCTGCTTCCGCTGCGAGGGGATCGCCGACACTGCATCCTATAGCTGGGGGCCCGTTCGCGGACTGCCCGGCTGGGATCTCCTGGCTTGCGTCGGGCACAACCCTATTAACAATGTGTCCTGCTGCCATTTGCTGCTCCAATGACGCTGCGGCGGACTCTCCTGTAGCGTACCTCTCCTGAAAGGTTATCGTGTGTCCTCCCAGAGCTTCAACTAAGGCATCCGCCGTCACGATGGCTCCCTCTTCTACTCTCTGGGCCGAGAGAGCGGCAGCCCACACATCATCCGCTTTCGTAGCCGGCACCACGGCGATGATACGACTGACCATGGGAATGCGTTCCGCTAACATAGACTTCAGGTCCATCCATGCTGAACCCAGAACAAACTTGCCTTTGTTTGGGCGGAGTACCGACTCTATGCGTGGCTGCCTGACGGTTTTCCAAACAAGCACGCAGGGGTCGCCGGGTGACCTTGACCCGGCCCAGCAATACGTCATGAGGGTCGGTTGTCGGACGGTTAGAGTACGGGTTGCTGTGACCAGCGGTGAGCTTATTCGGGTGACTGAGGCGGATCTGGATGATGGGGTGATGAGGAGTGGCCTACGTCGTCAACAAAAATCCTAGTCATGCTCACTTCAACCTACAGTCAAGAGTTCGTGGCCCGAATCTGATGACACCTGAGGCTCGAGTAAAAGGGAATCGCACCCGCAGCCGGGACTCACTGCTCTGGACCCGTATCGTGTTCAGCGGTTTCGCGCACATCTGACCGCTCGGCGCGTTCCGCAACACAGTGCACGTGCCTGGAAACATCGTGTCTGATAGGCGCGCGGCATGAGCGGCTAGTTCGGCCGCCTCTCCTCGTACTCCACTATGGCCTCTCAACCCAAACTTGATGAATCACACTGGAATAATCATCTTAAGCGCCCCGAGGCTCACATCCGTGCACGCTTACATTCTCGCCCCGCTACCATCGTTTTGACCTGCCGGGGTAACGCACACTGGCGTTCCTTTGTCGCGAGGATCACACCCCAACGCAACTCGAGTGCCGTCTGGGGTCGACCAAGTCCGTGAACAACCTTACGGGGTCACGCGTGCGGCTGTCTATCCGATATGGGATTACCGACACTCGAACGACGTCTACCAACTTCCTGAGATGCCAACACTGAACACCCTCCGTAAGCGCTCCCGGTCTGCTGAGCCGGGTAAGGTATCGTACCGCGCTCGTGGAAAGGGCACTGGCTATGGAGGGTTTATGGACTCCCTCGAGGGGCTTTGCGAGAGGGCCCAAAGACAGCCGATCCTCGATCAAGGGAGCCATATATTTACAAAGGAGGACACGCATGACAAAAATGGGGGCCGGCTGCTAGTACAGCATCTTCCAAGGAAGGACGGGCCCTCTACCGTCCCCTCCCTCCCTGCCACTACCCCGCTATACGACATCCTCAAGGACTCGACGTGTTACGAGTCCGGATTGGACCGCGATGACCAGGACTCCTGGATAAGAATCCTTGACGGCTCGTCACACAGACAGTTTGTGCAAGGGAAGCACAGGTTAACAGTCTGCCGACTGCTTGACCTCGAGGAACATAGTGAGGGGGATGAGGGCAAATACTGCGAGGGGAGTGTGCCTTTTCTGTCGATCACTGCGAGGCCACATGGTGGGAAGGATATCTTTCTCGACAATCATGGACGGCATTTTGCCACTGTTGGATGGGATGATGCCAAAGCGCTGGACGACATGTCCTTGCCGGACTGCTCAGCTGGACCGCAGGGGCGGGAAGACCCCCTCACACAAAGTTCTGAGAAAACGGCCAACGCGCTCAGCGTCGAAATGGTGCAGCGAGACCCTGCTGCGATCACCTCGACAACGAATCCTTCATCCTCTCTAATGGCGAGCGAGATGAGGGGCTCCTTAGCGAACCCGCCGGCACCCCGATTGGTATCTGTGGACCACGCTACTCCAAGAACGCACGATTTTCATCTCTCAACGGCCATGCGCCAGAGACAAGTGTCCATGATCCGATCATGTGCGCAGAGTATACCGGACAACGCCAAGGCCAAGCAACGACAGCTACTCATGGATAATCTTTGCCTATGGGCCGCCACTCTGAGCCTACCTGGCCAAGTCATTGAGGCGCGGCGAGGCACCGGCATTGGTACCGCGCACTTTCGCTTCAGGTTACACTCTCAGGCACGATATGTGAAGCCGAACATCAACCGACACTTTGCGGATAATCTCCCCCTGACAGGCCCTTATCTCTTCGGCAAAATTGTCACCCGCACCCTCCTCCGTATGAGGAATACCTTTGCCTTTGGTCATGGCAGCGTGCACAAACGCTACGTCTCCATTCTGAGCCATCCCACCCTGAAGGGATTGCGTCTGCCGATCCACCAGCGTAACTCGTGGTCGAAGCCCGTCTTCATACAGAAACAGATCAAGACCCGCCGGCTCCTTTTAGCAGCGCCCTGGGCGTCCTTGGCGGTCAATCTGCCTGCACAGGAAACGTCAATGCGGGTCCATATTGATGGGCACGATGCCAAGTGGGGCATGTGCACTATTGCCAGCGCTGGACATTACACTGGCGGAGCGCTACAAATATTGCCCGCTGGTGTTGTCATCCACACTAGACCAATTCTCGATACGGTGTGCTTTCCTTCGGCGATGCTTCAGCATTCCAATAAACCTGTCCGCGGCTTTCGCATGTCAATGATCGGATTCACCAGTGAGGATCTTCTCAAACATTACGCGACACTGCCGGAACTAAGCGACTATCCAGTCTGGCCTCGGCAATTCTGGGTGTAGGCGTGGATTTCCTTCGGACGTTCCCACGCACGCCCAGCTCTACTTATCAATCCATGAAATAATTATCGAAGGCTGTCGTGTCGCGACTTGTACAGCGTGCAAGCTTATGAGACTGTACGTGAGCCGCCATGTATACACGCATCAAGACAAAGGTGTGGGTGTCCATGAGAGGCGCGCACATGTTGGACCTCAGATTTGGATGCACCGCTAATAGCGAGGACGGATTACAACTGAGACCCACTCGATACTCAATGACAGTCCTGTTTGAGAAAGGACGGCAGTGCAGCGGTGTCTTCGGGTTCACCGCGTCGGGCGCACGCGCTTCGTGGGCTAAGCGCAGTCTCCATATTGGGGCACTGCGCCTGTCACCCACTCTGATCGTGAAATTCACCGAGTGAGGCTATGTGCGGGGCGGCTGCAAGCGGACGCGCCCAAACTCGAAATGAATGGCTGCACCAGAGTTCGGCGGTCGTTGTCCATGCAGGCGCGTGTCTATCGTTGGCGGCTCTCACACTGATGAAATATACGTCACGGAGGCTTTGCGCAGGACTCCCATCCGCACGTCTGCACGCGCGTGTCCCCTGCCCACCAATGGACACACTCGATTTTTCGATCAACCCTGCCTCTCTCACCGCTTTGCGACCTAGCTTCCCTGACACATCTTTCGGCCTCTTGCAGGCTGGGGCAACGATCTGCAGTTCACACGACAGACACAGCTCTCGAATTGACCCAGTAAAGAACAAGTCCGACCGACGCACAACCGTGCGCGGCGCGCGCCTCACTATTACGTGCAGCCGGACAATCGCCGGCGACAATGGCAACACCCTTGCCTACGTGAGTTAACCAATTACGTATGCGTACTTTGGGAGCCGCCCTGGCGGTTCCGCTCACGAATGCGGCCAGGCGACACATGTGGAATGGGTCATGCCCAATACCTGCTTAGTTGAACGTGCTAGCGATACCCTCGCTATGCCTTTTCAAAAGTGCGGATCGCACTTCAGGGACTTTGGCATGCTCACCACGGGTTTTGTGCGGTCATGCAAGTCGGATAGAGGCAATATGTCCTTTTCCAAATATACATGTGGTGCCAACATGCTGACTCTCCACTGGTCCCCTTTCGTTGGCACCGGTGGATAGTAGGAGTGAGTCGGCAAATGACTCCGCCTGCTGCGACTGGCCTGGGTGCTACTGCGCTTGACAAGAGAGAGGGGCCTGGATAGCAGGAACGGGCGTGTCGGCAAATGGCACTGCCTGCTGCGAGAAACTTTGGTGCTACAACGCTCGGCAAAACAGGGCCTGGGTATATGGCCGCTGACCCCACCTCGAGCTGTCCTGCGAACAAGAAGCTCATCTGCGACCCGTACTGTAACTTTGTCAACTTGGCGCGTCTCCCATGCCGCCGTCTTCAACGCCTCGACATGCCCTGGCGCACCTCATATCCTCACGCCTTGCCGTAGCCGTCGTGATCTTGCTAGCCACCCACACCCTTCACGCCACCGAATGTCGCTCAATCATTGCAGACACAACTTGACCTCCTGTTCAACCACATCACTTTGTTTTGCGGAGCAACACTGCGCTTTTCACTATTCTGCGCCTCGCGACTGGCCAACACGTTCAGTTTGAACACCTCTTGCCCCAACACATCATATCGCGAAGACGTCCTCCGACGACCCCCTCATTCTCAGAGTCGACCACGTGAACACCGCGGCCTGGGTGGGAAATCATCGGTTCACGTCTGCTGCTGAACACAGGGTTGGCGTCTACCTCCGAGTCGCCAGGGACCGCCAGGCAATCACCATCCTTGAGCACGACCGGCTTGGTCACACGAGTGATCTGCCAGAGGGCTGGCCCACCAGCTCTACCCAAAGTATCCTCGATAGGAATCATCTGTTTTCCGTACTGCACAATGGTGTCTTCTCCTGTTGAAAGTCACGATGGTCAGCACCGCTGCCGGGTGGCCTGCGTGCACGAAGCGATAACCCTAACTCACCCAGGCAACATCTCATGTCAATAACCCTGACGTACCGTCTCTACAAAGCAGTGCAGGACACCCTGCGTGCCAACCTCTACACCTCTCCTGTTAGACGTGTCCCAACGCCGCGGCCCACATGACTGAATGCCCAGCTGCGCCCCCCAGCGCCGCGCCCAGCCGAGCCAAACCCATCTGCGTGAACTCGCAACGTCCCCCTTTGCTTCCTTTCCTCTTGGTTGCAATTCTTGTCTTTACTCAGCTATCCTAGGATTTGCCCCGCTTCTGTGCCATCGTCACCAAAGCGTCCGAACCCCTCTAGCAATTGTATAGGATACTTGCCTGATCACCCAAAGTATCCGAGCCTCCCAAACCCCTCACCCGGGCTTCTCGAGGCCTTGCCCAAAGTTCCCAGACTACACGAGCGTAGCCCCAACCAACCCGACCAGTGCTGTTGTCGGTCGTGGCACGAGATTGGGAGTAGTGATTAGCAAGGAATTGAGACTCGCGCCCGAGGTGCAAATCTTGCGTGTTTGCTGGGATCATCGAGGGCTGACTCACCTTCAACTTTGTGAGTCAATCAAGAGTCAAGGGTCAAAACCGAGGTCCCTGCTGCATGTTCACCGCTTTTACACGGTATCCAGCACAAGCGGCCGCGCTGCCAACGCAACGCTCGGGAATCGCGAATCTTGAAAATAAGCGGAAATCGTGGGTCATGACATGCATGCATGATGGATGGCAACGCGTCTACCTTATAATAACCATCTCGAATCGAAAAATCGTGATCGACACAGTCGTGAATCATCAAGTGTTTGATTTTGATCCTCAATAACGCTGCGCGCAACACACCTGTGACAAGAGGGACGCGGGCAATTTCAACGATCTCCGCATCGCCATGCAGCCATGCACAGCAGTGGAGGGGAAGCGAGACCCTGACTGATGCTGATGACACAGCTGCCGTCGTGTCTGGAATCGGGATACATGGGTTAATGTATGTCAAGATCGGACCTTATGCTAGATGGAATCTGAAGTCATACACCTGTAATCTTGGATCGTGGTATGATCGCAGGGCCGCACGCCGCACTGCTCGCTTACACGCTCAAAGGCACGGCAGCGCTTCTCTGGGAAAGGCCAATCAGAAATGGCGGTTGCTTGGGTTGAACCGCGTCTTGACGCCAATCTTGAATGTCTCTCAGGCCTCAGCGGCGTCAACAATTATTCACGTAGATGCAGACCATGTTGACTAAGGGCTGTAGGTATAAAAGGTGAATTCAAGATTGCAGATGGGGCAAGTCACCGCGCATATGAAGCAAGCGAGAAAGCAGCAATAGAAAATGTCGCACAGCCATGCACCATATTATGCAGCAGGCAGCCGCATTAACGATTATATACACTGGCGTGCCTATACATGCGTTGCATCCGTGTCTGTCACATCTTGTCCACCTGTCTTGTCATGATATCATTTTCCTTTTCGGCCCTGCAGCGCCGCTCGCCGACTTCTTTCCTGCACGAACCAGCGCATCGCAACACGCCTGCGTGTGCGTGGGCGACGGGGCAGTGTGCCGCGATCGACTATAGCCGCATGGAGGTACAAATCCGGCCGGCGCACACGGCACGGTACACCAAAGCCGCGCGCTCGTCCTGTTGCACGGCAGCTGCAGCAGCGCACCCATCAGGCGTGAGCTGCAAAGGTAGAGATGAGCGCATGCATCGTATGGCGCTCATCGCAATATACCGGCTTGCAACCGACAGCCCGGCCGTGCGTGGATGCTCACCCGCCAGACTCGATCGGCCGTCAGCCACTGGCGGAGATTACTTCTCAGGCGGGCGCGTGAAGCCGCGAGCAGGTAGTCTGTGCAGCGCAGGTATATTTGTGACCTGCAGCAGTCGAAAGAGCGCAAATCAATCGCATGACGCATCAGACCAGACCAGCATCTCGTGCTGATCCCCAGCAAAGGTGCACGCTGCTCCATCATCACTCGTCGTTGGTCATTTGATCCAACTTGCAACCATCATCCCTTCTCCTTCTATAGCTACCGCTTGCCCACTTCTTTCCGGCATCACGGCGCGCCGAAGAAGGAGGTGCCACGCCGTACCTGGCGCAGTCACACCGCCGGCGATCGCCGCTTGCGCAGATCAGAATCTCCACCAATCACCCCTCTGCGCCCCAGGAAGTGGACGCCAACCCCCAGCGCGCGTCTCACTTACATTGCCAGTGGTCTGGTCAACAATCGGATAGCAGCAGCACCTATTTTCTGCTACCAAGTGGCGCAGGCGAGCTTCGAGCGACCCTGACCCTGTAGACGCTGTGGTTGGGTCAGAATGAGTGCCCAAAGGAGAGGTGGCAAGGGGCAGTCGGCCAAGGTGCCCGGCAAGAAGAAGGAGACTGGGCCTCTGAGCAAGTTTGGCAGCTTCTTCAAGTTCTTGTACCGCATAGAAACAGATCCCAGCGTGCTCTTTGCCAAGAAGCGGCCCCCGCCGTGTCCACGATCTGTTTACTTCAACGAACCGCTGCCTTCGGAGGCCTTCGACAAGAAGAACAAGCCACTCAAGGGCAAGAATGGCCAGCATAACTGGACCTACTCCACCAATCAGGTCATTACTGCCAAGTACAATGTTTTCAACTTCGTGAGTGGTGCCTCAGCAGTGTTGTGCCGAGGCCTCAAAGTCCTGCAGCATCATGCTCACGGTGTCGACCCTGTATGCGCACCTTAGATCTTCAAAAACTTGTTTGAGCAGGTGAACAGCGACGGTGAATCTGCGCGATGAGTATGATGCTGACTTTTTCCTCTTCGCCATCCAGTTCCGTCGAATTGCCAATCTCTTCTTCCTGCTGGTCGTCATTTTGCAATTCTTTCCCAAATTTGCAACAATCAGTCCGGGTGTCGCCATGCTTCCCTTGCTAGCTGTACTTGCATTCACGGCGCTGAAGGATGGATACGAAGACATCAAGCGTCACCAATCAGATCGCAGTATCAACCGAGCCCGCGTGAGAGTACTCAAAGGTGGAGGATGGACCAACCCGAACGTGATGGAAGCCAAAGAGAAGAGCGTCTCGTCCGCATGGAAGGTCTTCTATGATGGGTGGCTAGGTGGCAAAGCTCGACAAAGTAAGAAGCTGGCTGAACAAGAAGCCGCGCGATCAGCGCAACCAGCTGCGAACGGTGTCGAGCCTTCCGCACCTCCAGCCGACGCTCCTGGTGGCGGTGCCGCCCCGGAGCCACTGTCGACGACTGGAGCGGGTGCTGGTCGCAACGAGTCATCGCTTGACCTTCCTGCTCAACGACCTTTGCACCAAAGAGCGATGACGTCTGCCAGCTCACTGGGCCTTCAAGGTGGCTCGCATGTTCGAAGACAGACGTCTGTCGGAGTCAGCGCCTTCGACAGTCAGTACGAAACGGGATCTGACGGCAGGGTCAGGTACCAAGGCAGGGTGCTGACGGAGAAAGAAGAGGCCGAGTTCTACGCGAAGAAGGCTCCGCGCTGGAAGAAGCAGATGTGGGAGGACCTGGCCGTTGGTGACTTTGTCCTGCTGAAGAACAACGAGGCCATTCCAGCAGACATTGTGATTTGCTCGACCAGCGAAGAGGAGGATGCGTGCTTTGTTGAGACGAAAAACCTGGATGGCGAGACCAACCTCAAGTCGCGCCATGCTGTTCCGGAGCTTGCTCAGACCCTGCGCACCGCACAAGACTGTGCTCGCGCGCTTATGCGCGTCGATGGCGAGCCTCTGGACACGAACATGTACCGGCTTAATGGCTCAGTGGTGCTTGGCGACCGTTTCGATCGCGATGGACAACCTTTGCGCTGCCCAGTCACGCTCAACCAGTGCCTGCTCCGCGGTACAGTTTTGAGAAACACTTCTTGGGTCATCGGTGTCGTCCTCATGACCGGCTTCGACACCAAGATCATCGCGAACTCGGGCAACACACCAAGCAAGCGTGGCAAAGTTGAGAGGCAAATGGAGCCGATGGTATTCGCAAATTTGGGTCTGCTGGCTGTCATTGCCATTGCCTGCGCGATCGCAGACGCTCGTATCGAGAATTACTTCTTCGATCGCGCAGCTTATTGGGAATACCTTGCCATCTTTAGCGACGACAATCCTAACCTCAATGGTCTCGCTACATTTGGTAACGCCCTCATCACATTCCAGAACATTGTGCCGATCTCGCTCTACATCTCCATCGAGGTTGTGCGCACGTTGCAAGCGTACTTCATCTACGACGATGCGGATATCTACTACGAGCCGACTCTTCGCCGTACGACTGCGAAGTCTTGGAACTTGTCGGACGATCTTGGCCAGATCCAATATGTCTTTTCAGACAAGACCGGCACGCTCACTCAAAATTTGATGATCTTCCGAGGCTTCGCTGTCGGTGGCATCACTTATCACGGCGATGCGCCCGGCGCTGCTGAAACAGATCGGTCGGATAGCGTCGCCGAGAAGGAGAAGGAACTCAAAGCAAGTGATTCAAGTGCCTCTTCGACTTCTCAGCACGATCCCAAACGCAAGCGCGTCAAGCCACGGAATGAGGGTGTCCCGCCATTCCGTGACAGCAAGTTGAAGGAGGTTTTGCAGGACGAACACAGCGAGCAAGCGCAGCTTCAAGGTCTATTCTGGCGTTGCTTGGCTCTTTGCCACACTGTCCTCACGTCAGAAGACCCCGAGACCGGCGTGCTTGAGTACAAGGCACAAAGCCCGGACGAGCAAGCTTTGGTCCAAGCAGCTGCCGAGGTTGGCTTCGTCTTCGTAGGCAAGGATCGCAACACGCTTACCATCCAGACGCCTTGGTCCCTCGACCTGGAGCATTTCGAGCTGCTGACTGTGCTAGAATTCTCATCGGCAAGGAAGAGAATGAGTGTGATTCTACGCCGCCACTCTGACAATGCCATCCTTCTCTTCACGAAGGGAGCAGACAGCGTTATATTTGAGCGCGCGCGAGAGGGCCAGGAAGCCATCAAGGCCAACACCGACACTTCGCTGGAAGAGTTTGCAAATAATGGCCTGCGCACGCTTTGCCTTGGGTATAAACAAATCAGTCAGCACGACTATGAAGAGTGGGCACATCTCTATCATGACGCGTCCGTCGCTCTCGAGCGGCGAGAAGAGCGAATGGAAGAGTTGGCCTCGGAATTTGAGCGCGATCTGGAGCTCCTAGGAGCCACAGCTATCGAGGACAAGCTGCAAGACGGGGTACCCCAGACAATCGCTGACTTGAAGCGAGCAGGAATCAACGTCTGGGTAGCTACTGGAGACAAGCTGGAGACCGCCATCGCGATTGGCTACTCCACTATGCTCTTGTCAAAAGACATGAATCTCATCGTCGTGCGAGGTGGAGAATATGGGCAGCCGAACTCTGCTTACGATCAAATGAGGCGGGCAATCGAGCGCTTCTTTGGTGGCAAGGAAGCTTTGCAGTCAATGACGACTCGGCCGCCTGGCGAGGAGGAGGAGGGTGCTAGCCACCACAGCAGGCGCTCCTCTCGAATCAGTAATGCTCGGCCGTCCTTCCAGAGCCGACGCAGCCAAGTCTCCCTCGTTGGCGAGGACAATGGTCAACGTCAAGGCGGCTTCGCCCTCGTCATTGATGGCGCTGCGCTGGGCCACGCGCTCTCCGAAGAATTCAGCAAGGAGCTGCTTCTGAAGCTGTCCACGCAGTGCAAGGCCGTTATTTGCTGTCGTGTGTCGCCTTTGCAGAAGGCACTGATCGTCAGACTGGTCAAGGACGGTCTGAAAGTGATGACTCTTGCGATTGGCGATGGCGCAAACGACGTGTCCATGATTCAGGTGAGTTGATTCGTTGCCCAGAGCGTTTCGGAATGTCTCACTGACAACAGACTTGACATGCACTCGGCCCTGCAGGCCGCCCACGTTGGCGTGGGCATTGCAGGAGAAGAGGGACTGCAAGCTGTGAACAGCTCGGATTACGCCATTGCACAGTTCAGGTTCTTAAAACGCTTGTTGCTTGTGCATGGGCATCAGTCGTACTACCGCAATGGTACTCTGATCTGCAACTTTTTCTATAAAAACATTGTCAACATTGGTTACTTGTTCTGGTTCCAGATCTACTGTGCTTGGTCAACAACTCAAGCCGTCGACTATGTGTACCTGCTATTCTGGAACGCGGTCTGGACAGTGGCTCTGGTCATCGCTATGGGTGTCTTCGACCGACCGATATCTGACCGCGTCCTGATGGAGGTGCCAGAACTGTACAAGCGCAGTCGTGTAGGAGGCTACTTCGGATTCAAGCGTTTTGCGCTCTTCCTGCTGGACGCCACCTACCAATCTGTTGTTCTGTTCTTCTTCGTCACCTACACCTACGATACGACCACTGCGCGCACAGACGGCTACGACATTCAGCTGTACGAATTCACAACGACGATGGCGCAAGCCTCAGTCCTTGCGGCGAACTTCTACACCCTACTTTGGTCCAATGCCTGGACTTGGTGGCTTGTAGGTGCTGCGTGGTTTGGGCCGGTCATCTTCTTCATCTTCGCACCCATCTACGCCGCACTGCCTCCCACGCTCAACTGGTCATACTCTTACGGCAACAACCATTATCTGTACTACTCCGCCTACTACTGGTTTGCTGGCTTCCTCACCGTCTTCCTCTGCATTATCCCTCGAATTATCTTGCGGCATGTTCGCGAGGTCTATTACCCTCATGACATGCAAGTCTTGCGAGCGATCGACAAGTACGATCCGAAGCACGACTACATTCACGATCCAGGAATGCCCGCCAGGCGTGCTGCAGAGGAGTACGGCGTCGCATTGCCCGAAGCTGCTCCTCATTCGGCCGCGTACGGCGGCCACGGCGATGTGGAAGCAGCTTATCCCATGCACGCCCTTCAGCCTACTCAGAGCCGCGCCTCGAGCACGCATTACGATATGCTGACCGGCGAGCAGAGACCAGGACGCGGCTACGGCTTCTCAGCTTCAGATCCGGAACCGCGGAGCAAGTCCAAACGCAAGCTTACGCTCAAGGAGCGTCTGATTCCCGGTTCCGTCAGGAGACGGAAAGAACGAAGGGCACTGGGAACCATTCAGGCCGAGCGCGAGGATGATCTGGAGGAGGAGGAAAGACAAGATGTAGATGAGTTGGGTGTACCTGCCGACAGGAGGGCGCAGGGTCCTGGACCCGAAGACGACGACGAAGCGCACTTGGACCCGCAAGACGACACGCAGACGACTCCTGCGACACAACCCGCCAGATAAACAGGCTCAAGGTGGACGTTTTGTGCGTTTCATCCCGAAATTTAGTCATTTCCCCTCCCAACCTTCCTTTTTTGCAGTCACCTCCTATTTCGACGTTTCCCATCAGATGGTGCACACCGCAAAATGATGCCGCCCCTGCCCACTGCGTTGCCTGCTAAATACTTACTCGAACATCGTACAGTACATAACATCCTTCGGTGCCTTCTAGAGCTCGCGACCCAAACTCCCTCCCCCCTTTCTAATCGCACCTTGGAAGCGCGCGTTGTTATGTCCGAGCTTGATGATCTTCTGCATGCCTTGCATTCATCCCCCCTTCGACTTCGAAACACGCAACTCGTTTCCCGTATATAGCTACTCTTGACTTGGTCGTGCGGGTGGCTTTCAGATTTACACGCGTGACATACTCGCTTTCGCCTACTTGATGCGTGACGACAACGCTTGCGGTGCAAGTTGTCTGAGCTCGGAAGGGCTGGGCGAGCATGCACAGCCACACTCGACATGCAAACACTCTGGCTGCTGATCCGCTGCTGCGTCTGCTTCATGCGTCGCAGTAAGATGCGGGCTTCCGCATGCCACGCGTTGTCCATTTAGCCGTTTGCGTTTGCGCTTCCGCCGTACGTGCAGTGCCGGAAGGGCGGCAACGGCCTCACGAACCACTCACTGTGTGCTGCATCACGAAAAGTAATAGGGGCTTCTTAGCGGCTGCTGCGATCTGCTGGGCGCGTGTACGCGGCGGCGGTCTGTACTTGTTGCATGGTGCGATCCTAGCCCAGGGAGGGAACCCTCGCTTCATTTACCAAGGGTTATACTGAGGGGCTTGTTCAAAGCATTATCGGTATATGTACTCACGTCTGGTAGCTGCCACAGCTTGCACTCAGTCGCGACCAACGGCGGCCTCGAATCATCGCATCGCGCAAAGAAGGCAAGGCTCGGCGTGCTGCGAACGTAGGGCGGAGCTCGAAACGGGCGCGGTGCGGCTCGGCTCCACTTGAAAGTTGTGCGCGCGCATTTCAACATCCATGCACCCGTCCGTCCATCCAACGTTCATCCATCATCTTGCTGTTCGCAATAGCTGAGAGCCACCACCACATCCGCACCTCCTTCATCGATTTATTGACAGTCACTCGTAATATTGAAGGCCAGCGATCACCCTTCCTTTGTGCATCTCATCCTTACCATAGGTCACCTCCCATCCGGAGCCAGAGGGGTCGCTCGCTGCTCTCTGGCTGCGCTGATGACTCAAGCCATGGACGACCAGCAGCGAGCAGGGCCAAGTCGGCTTCAAGCGACTCTGCCGGCCTCGGACACGATACTAGCAGTGGATGCGGCTGCCAGAGCCTCACATCGCTCCACAAAACGTCGAAGACGACGATGGACGAGCTACAGCGCGAGGCGTCTCATGAGCTACGGCATCGCCTTTGCTGCGTGTAGCAGCTTTGCAGCCCAGACGCGAGCACAGACGGTTCAGCCGGTCGATACGACTGCATCTGCATCTGCAACGAGCGGCACTGATGCAACTGCGACGACGATGCAGACCTCATCATCAGCGGGCAGGTGAGTGGGCGAGCGTGGGTGTTGTTTGATGGGACCGTCTCTCGTGTTGCGGACTGATGGAGTCCGTGATCTCACTCACTGCAGATGGGGCCAAGCATCCGCTCTGTTGGGCTCGCGCTTGGTGATACACGGGGGCAAAACGCAAGGCAGTAGTCCCGGTGGTGGAGGCTACACCTACAACTCGGCACCCAACTCTGCAGACCTGATGCTGCTCGATCTCTCCAAATCCTGGTCAGGTAGCTCAGCGCCTTGGCAGGTGCTCAATAGCACTGCAGCTCCAGCTGTCAGCTTTCACTCGCTGCTGCCACTGGACGCGGATGCATCACGACTACTCATTTTCGGCGGTGATGCTACAGGATCTGTGCCGGTTCAGACAAACAACGACTCCGCTTATACGGTCACGCTCGCCGGTTCGGGCAGTGCTTCCACAGCGTCGTGGCAAGCGGTCGGTTCGAGTTTGGACCAACCAATGCGACGCATATATCACGCTGCAGAGAGTGACGCAAAGGGCAGCGTTTGGATCGTCGGAGGCGAGAGAAATGACGGGTCGGGCGTCGTGTTGGACGAAACTTGGTCGATGGACAGCACTGCGAGCAGCCCTCATTTTGAACAAGTGACTCCGCCTACCGGAAGCATCGTGGATGGCACAGCCACCTTGCTCAGCGATGGCACATTGTTGATGCTGGGGGGGACTGATGCTTCCGGCACTCTTCAGCCCTTTAGTAGCGTCAGCTCCTTCTCCACTCAGAGCAAAGCCTGGACTTCATTCAATACCACTGGCGCCAACTCGACAACAAATGGGACGCCAGTCGCTCGTCGTGGGCATGTCGCTGTGAGCTTGCCGGAGAAGCGCGTCTTCATTCATGGAGGTGCATCTGCCGATCTGGCCACTGCGTACAGCGATGCATGGCTGCTCGACTGGAGCGTCACTCCTCCAAGATGGTCAGAGGTGACTGGCGTTGGTGCACCCTCAGCGCGCTTCGGTCACTCGGCCGTGGCGTACGGCTGCCAGGTCGTCATTTGCTACGGCTGGCAAGGTAACAGTGCCGCGGACACTGCCGTCTATGTGTTTGATGCCATCAAAGCGCAAGTGACATCTGGAGGAGAGTGGTCCGGTGGCTCTTGGACGTCGTCCTACACCCCCGATCCTGCTGTTGCTTCCAATGGCAGCAAAGGTTCCGGATCAGGAAGCAATGGTTCAAGCTCCAACTCAGGCTCTCAGGCACCTAACGGAGGCAACAATGGTGGTACCGGAACGGGCGGGTCCTTTGGTAACCCTACCAACACCTCGAAGCCACAGGATGATAACGGCGGCGGAACGAGCGCAGGAGCTAAGGCGGGCGCCGTCATTGCGGCCTTCATCGGTGTTGGCCTCGTTGCCGGGGCAGGGTACGCCATCTATCGTCGCAGACAAAACGATCCTTCCAATTGGCGACACGGCGATGGAGCTGCGGAGCTGCTGGGCGGTGGGGCAGGTTACCGAGCTAGCGACCCGTACGACGATCCCTATATGATGGAGAAGGGTGGAGCAGGAGACGGCTTCTATCAAGTCGCGGATCGTCCAGGAGGACCAAGAGCGATGGGAGCGCCTGGAGGCGCCTGGACTGCTGGCAATGTCGGACACGCACAAGAGGGCTCCGGTCCGCATTTCCGAGAACGACTGGCTATGCTCGCAGGTCTCGGTGGCTTTGGTGCAGGTGCAGGTGCAGCTCAGCCTCGCTTCAACATGCTTGCTGATGAGGACGAACTCGAGCACGGCGATGCTTACCCCATGAACGATCGCAACGGCCTTGCTGACCGAGATGACCAAACTCATCGCGCTTCTGCAGTCGACGACGTAGATGACGTCGAGCTGTTCTATCCCAGCAGACCACTACGCGAAGCCTCGTACGGCCGACTTGATCAGGACGACATAGACGAAGACATCTCTATGGGCGACATCGGTGGCCACGGTGGTCGTGGCTCGAATCCGATGGATTTTGTCACTTCGCCTTTTGAGGACAATGCGGAAGCGGCGGCCCGTTACGGAGTTGCTGGGCTCGGCGCAGGCATTCTCGCGTATCGAGCAGCCGATGACAGGCCTCTGGAGTCTGAAAGCGGCCACTCTGAGGCAACGACCGGCCCCTCTGGCATTGCAGGTGGTGTGTCCAGTCAGTCGCATACGGACCATTCCACCACCGGAGACAGCAGTCTTGGTCAGTCTGCAGGCGAGCACGCATTGGTCTCATTCTCTGACGCTGGAAGGGATCACCAAAGTGGGCCAAGCAGGAGATCGAGCAGGAACGTCGCCTCCCCGGGTGGCCCGCGCTCAGCCCCAGCAGCCGGTATGAAGCGGAGTGCAACGTGGTGGGATAGATTCATGGGCCAGAGCTTTCTCGAGCGAAGCGCTTCGGGACGCCTGCTTCCTGGTCCGAGCGCTGATCGTCCTATTCGAGATCCTGCCGCACCTCCCGATCTGTCTACCATTCGCGAGTCTCCTCGATCTGCCAATCCGAGCGAGGAAAATCCTTTCGGAGACGCCAACGCATCCATACCAAACGCGAGCGTTGGGCACGATGCTGACGATCTTGGTCGTTATGTAGCAGGTGCCAATGCCTATACGATGGGTGGCGGTGCGCACGGGCGGTCCCTCTCCAGCTTGCAAAGCGCTCGCACTGCCACCAGCTCTCACTTCGAGGCACAGCTTGCGCGCATGGATGTGGTGCAGCGCACCCGCACCGGCAGCAGTAGACACACGACGAGCAGCAGCGGCGCCAGCTCCAACGGAATGGAGAGTTTAGCTCCTTCTCGAGAAGCTAGCACTCGTCGAGCGAACGTTGGGAGGGGAAGCGTAGATGAGGTCGTTACCTCACCTACGGGCTGGACCCCAGGTGACTGGGCCAGCGCCGGTGCAGCTCAAGGCATACCTACCACCGTGCAAGAAGACGACAGCTCAGACGGCTTTGACCTGCACATGCCATCAACAGACGCCGCAGGGGCAGCTCCGTTCCACAACGGGCTTGCGAGCGCTGACCCGGGCCAACCACGCGACGAATTTGCCACCCCAGCTGGCCTGACAGAGCGCTCACGCTCCAATATCGGGGAGAATGTAAGAGCTGCGCGACAAAGGCCGTCCGACGCACCCAGCTTTACGCCTTCGACGACGAGACGCGCTAGGGACAATCCGGTGCTAACTTCGCCCTTATTGCCGAGCTCCCGTCATGAACCGGAGCCGCCAACGTCTGGTTCTGTGAAAGACCGGGTGAAGGCGATTGAGCGTAAAGCGACGTTGGACGAAGCTTTGCCTATTCCGAGATCGCCTGGTGCTTTGTCGGCCTCTCCTGCTCATAGCAGCGAAAGTCCGAGCAGCTCACGCACCAATCATTCGCCTAGACGAGGCCACGCGTCGCTGAGCCCTGTCAGCCCAAGAAAGGACGAGGGAAAGTCGAGGCCCGGATATTCACATGGACTCGCACCGAAGGCCCAGCTTTTTGTGGCGAATCCTGATCGGCAAGGAAGCACAGGAAGCTCGATCGTCAACGAACCGGAGCTCTAAGTCTTGCCGCATCGGAAAGAATTTCTTTCTTCCTACTTTTCGCTTGCACACGAACAATTTCCGAGCCTAAGATCATTTTTGATCCATTTGTTTTACTGGACAAAGTCACACTGCTGCATTCAGTGCCTCTGCTTCGACTTCCTCTTGCCCCTCTGATCTTCCTTATTTCTGGCCGCTGATTCTTTTTGCTCGCTCGATTTGCGCTCGGCGCCTTCTGTCACCGCTTTCAATCTCCTGCGCTTTGCTGGGAACAGGCACATCACAATCTCACGAACAATGGACGATTCACACTCAACGACGCGGTGCGGTGTGGTGCGTGCTTCTCCTCATGTGCGAGTGCGGCTTTGCGTGTGGATGATGTGCTGCACAGAGGATCTGGGCTCACTGCCTCCGAAATGTCTTTGGCTGCATCGGTTGGCCAAGCGGCCACCCGCGAATTAGCGATCCAAGTCGAGCCTCGGTGTGCAATAGCTCACTCAACGCCGAGGTCAACCATGAGAACGCGCGGGTCGCACGTCTAACGGGTCGCGCTATTTACACAACCCAATATCAGTAAATCCACAACCCGGCTAGCCAAGTCGACTTTTGAACTTCACTCACCAAGACGAGTTTTGGGCTGATTTTAAATTGACTTAAATTCCAAAATCAAATCAGCACTAAGCATTTGTCTGTTCCTCGATATAAATGCCCAAGGGTTAACATGAATTCTAAAAAGTTTGAAGGTGCAGATCACAAAATGTAAAATCCTTGGGTCTAATGTCATTTGTATTTGACTTGACTTTGTAAGTTATACAAGACTCAACTTAGTAAGTCGAGTTTGAAGCGCAACTTTGTAAGCCCCATTTGAAATCCGACTTTGTAAGTCAAACTTTCCAAAAGTCAACCTACCAAGTCGATTAGAAATGCATCAAAAGTTGGCTTAGCAAGTCGTCTTTCAACACATTTTAAATAAAAAGTTCCAAAGTTGACTTGGCTAGCCGGGTTGTGGATTTACTGATATCAGGTTGTGTAAATCGCGCGACCCACGTCTAACTAGCCGAGCTATAGTGGGCTATTGGTGGCCGAGGTTGATGGCCGAGGTGGAGGAGACTCTGGGCCCGACGCCAAGTCTCAGTCCCGATCATCCGAGGGGCCTGAGCGCTTATTTGGGACCTTGGACTCTTTCGCGAGCCAGTCCGTGTCCATCACGCTTGGGGGTCCTGCGCTTCGAACATATCCGTTCATGGTACATCTGTGCATGCTGCATGGTCGCCCACCGCTTAGCGCGTGCTCCGAGTTTGGAGTGATGGTTAGCGCTGTCGACTGCCTGACTGCCTGCTTGGGTGGCGAATATGGAGAAATCGCAATGACGAATCGAATGTGGGGTTGCGGACCGAATCCCACTTCGGGCATCGGTGATGAGGTACGGTATTCGTGATTACGATCAGAATCCAATATTATTGCTGCTTCATTGTGCCTCGGGGCGCTATCCGCGTGCGCGTGCGCCATCCGTGATGCGATGCGGACGGCGACTTGAGTCTGCTGATTCGATTCGCGCACGTTTTGGTTGGCTGCTGCTGCTGCGCGTCGACATGGGGCCGTGCGTGCATCGGCACTTTGGACGGATATTGACGATCCTGATGCAAGCTTCTTTGACCCCACACACGTCCTTCATACAAACCGGCACCACACCTGGCTCTCTCACCTTGACCGTGAGAAAAGTCGACACTCATATCAGCACGCTTTCAGCCATTCTCTCCTCGCTCACGGCCCACTCGCCTACTCACGATTCCGCGCGTCACATGAACATTACCGAGCAGGTAGGGCAGATTCATACGCGCATCTCACTCTACACGCTTCGCTTGGTCTGCACGTAGCAGGCTGGACAAAGCGAGAATCTGCGCATACAAATAGGCGCATTTGCACCTTGCTTCCCTCCTCATTCGCTCACACACACACACAAGACGGAATCCATCATCCATCATGTCTGGCAAGTGTCCCCTGGGTTACTCGGGCGATCTACCCGCAGGACATCCATCCGTTCCAGGCGCATCCTCCTCCTTCGGCAATATGAGCAACAGCATGAGCAGCAACTTGCTCTTCGCCATTCTGCCTCCTCATCTCGTTGTGTCCATCATGGAAGACTGGCAAGCTTGGGCGATGCTCCTCCTCGACTTTGTCTTTCTCGCACTGTGCGGTCTGGCCTTCGTTTATAATGATCGCTTGATCTTTACTCATCCCAGAAAGGAGGTGCCTACCATCAAGCCCGCTTTTCCCCTCATCGGGAATACGCCGTGGATCTCTAAGATCGCCAGCGGCAAGGCAAAAATGATCGACGAGCTAGTCAAAGAACAGTGAGTTTGATAGTCTGCGAGTGATCTCTGAGGATGAGTAGTGAGGAAGGAGAGGAAGGAGTCATCGTAGACGCGCGCCAAGGAATGCATTGTTCCGCATGCTGACGCTCAGGACTGGCACAGCATATACAATTGCTGACTCCCTTCTTCACCCCGATCCGCCAATTACTGCTCCTCGCCTGCATCGAATTTCCCAGACGCAGACAACTGGATCAAGGCGGATATGTTTGCACCGCCACCTTTCCCGCTTTGGGCCATCGCGTCGTCTTGATTAATCACCCTCTGTACATCCTGTGGGCACAAAAGACCAACTTCGAGACCTATGTGAGTGCAAAGCCAAGCAAGCACACAGGCAGAGAGCGAGGAGCCGGGGCCGAGGCGAACGAGCACGAGCTCACCGCCCTCCACGCTCTTGACTTTCTGTTGCTTCCTCTGCAGGACAAGGGGGCTCCGTTTCGGAGAGCGATGTCGGACGTGCTGGGGCATGCAGGCATCTTCGTCGGTGAGTCGCGGGAGCCATGGTCAGCTATGCGCCTCGCTAGCTATCTTTCATTCTCAAGCCGGCACGACTGCACTCGCTTGCTTGCCCTGACAGCCGACGGAGAGATCTGGAAGAAGCAACGCAAAATGGCTTCCCGTATCTTCTCGGTTGACAACTTCCGGACACAGTGAGCGTCACCAAGCAGCGAGGCTGTGGTACGCCATGTGACTCCTCTCTGACATCTTGCTCCCATGCGCGCTGCGCACTCGACAGCGTGCAACACGCAGTGCACGAAGATTTGGAGAGGCTTTCACAGTTGCTCACCGTTCTCAGCAAGACGAGTCAAGATGTGGACTTGCAAGCCATCTTTTTCAGGTTCACTCTCTCCTCCTTTGCCTCTATGGCTTTTTCTGCCCGACTGGATTGCTTGCCGACTAGTCCGGAAGGCTTGGCGAACGAAGTCCCATTTGCCAAGGCCTTTGACGGTGCGCAGGGAATGATTGACAATCGATTCTTCGATCCACTGCAAGGCGCCCTCGAGTATCTTCCTTGGAACAGGCGTGGGAGGCAGATGAGAAAGGCCATCAAGGTGAGTGGCGATCGGTGCGTTGCAGCCCTCATGGGGTGCAGTCGTAGCTTATCGCCACCTGCCCAATCTACGCTGCACACTAGGTCCTGGACTCGTTCTGCTACCGCGTTATTGACAAGCGAGTCGAAGCCCACAAGCAAGGCGACGTCAAAGCTGCAGAAGGAAAGAGCGGCAAGGATCTTTTGGAGCTCTTCATGGACATGGGGCTCAATCGAGAAGAGCTTCTGCCGGTCGTTCTCAATTTCTTGATCGCCGGGCGAGACACTACCGCTCAAACCTTGGCTTGGCAGTTCTACCAGCTTCACGACAAGCCTCAAGTGGTGGCCAAGATTCGAGAAGAGGTGGAGAGCGTGCTAGATGGGGGCAGGAAGATGGCATATGACGACATCAAAGCTATGCCATACACGCACGCCGTCTTCTACGAAACGTCCAGGCTGCACCCTGCAGTGCCCAAGAATGCCAAGACGCTCAATAAGGACGATCTAATCAGGCCGTACGCCCAATCCGGCGCTCAAGAGCTGCTGGCCGACATGCCAGAGCTGAAGCACAAGTTGCCGGACATTCCCATGAAAAAGGGAGAGTCGGTCATTTGGAGCGATTACGTCATGGCTCGCATGCCAGAAGTATGGGGAGCAGATGCTGCGGAATTCAAACCGGAACGCTTTTTGGACATCAAAGAGGATGGCAGTCGATCGGTGAAACAACCTTCGCCTTTCATCTTTCACTCTTTCAATGCGGGACCACGACTGTGCCTGGGACAGACGCTGGCCACCTTTGAAGGCATGGCCGTCACTGCGGCCATCTTGAGAGACTTTGACGTCATCTATGATGTTCAGGCGCTCAAAAATCAGCCCCCGCTCTACGCAGAGAGCTTGACCCACCCAATCCAGCCGGATCCCGTCACCCAGTCCGCTTACCGAGTCACCTTCAAGCGTCGCTCGTTGTAGTAGCCTTGTCATTTGACGTTTGCACCCGAACTTGTTGCGCGCCCTTCTCGGAACGGAGCGCATGATTTATTTGCATCGGTTTGGTTTGTACTTGTACCGTGACTGTACGCAAATGCTCGCTCTCTCTCTCTCTCTTCAGTCGCTACTTCATCCGAATTTCTCTTGGCTATTCATCCTTGCACGCTGTACGATCGTGTCCGCCCGGCGCGGAGAATGATGCCGCAGTGGGGCCGGTGGGCACCGAAGGCGTAAAGCCTCTCTTCCGCCTAACATCAAGGAGATCAGGAAGTCTTAGGAGCTGCGTAGGAGGCTCTGAGGACCTCTACAAAGTCACGTTGCATGGCAGCTAGCAACGTGAGAGGATCGTCGACTTGGCACGTCTGCAAGAAGTGGCAAAGCTGTTTGCAGAGCTGTGAGCTCCAATGAGGCCCGCAATCGGGAAGACTGATGAGTTTGGGTTTCTACTGATCAAGGGCCTCGTATCCGATGCGATGCGACCCACCATACTGATAGCTTCGCGGCGCCGCATGACCATCCTAGCTTCGGAAGCTTCGGTGGCCGATTTGGAAGCGCTTTCCAATTTGGCCACCATTTGCTGGGCTCTCTCTAGCAAAGAAGAAGGCAAGCCGCAGCGAGCTGCCATGTCCAGGCCATAGTGAGAGCTGCCAAGAGGACAGATTCGCATCAGAGCTCGATGAGCGCGACTTTTAAAAGCGCATCAGAAGCCTCACTTTGGAACGATTCCTCGCTCAAGATGGTGATTTGTGTCGGTCGACGCACTGCTCACCACATTCGAGCGCTGCTGGGCATGACTTGATGAGAACCGATGGAGGACTACGCTCGGATGATAACCAAGAGTCCTACCAAGGTCCGTAAAGTGCGTTGCGAAGAGTGTGGGGGCTTCCATGGCGATGAGCTCTTCCGCCACGGCTTGAGCAACGCCGAAGCCACCGTGCGGCGAGGTGCCCCTCTGCGACTTGACAGCTCAGTCAGCCTTTTCAAAGAGAGGCCACATGTGGAACGTTTTGCTCACACCTAGCTCGTCGATCAGCACAAGACTGTCTTTGGATGCTAGTGATAAGATGTACGCCGTTGAACGCAGTTCACTTGCAAAGGTACTCAGATTTGTCTCCTGGTCGTCGTTGTTCGAGAGCCGCGTCAGAATGCTATCGGTGTGTAGCCTGAATGAAGCATACACTGCAGGCACGCTGATCGTCGAAAACCAATCAGCTGGCGCTGCTCAAATGGCGCTCCCCAGCGAAGCACAAAACTCACAAACTGCCGACACATGCCATGACGTGTAGCAACGCTGTCTGTCGCAGGTAGGTGGTCTTGCCAGAGTGATTTGCTAGCGTGTTGGGAAGGCAGATTGAGACGAGGGGCATATATGGCACTCGGTTTTGCTTACTGCTACCCACGTCCAGTGATGATGAAGAAGCTCTCTCCGCCTGACACAAGAAGATCCTGAGGCACCACAGTGTTGTTGCGCATGGACTTCTCCATTACTGGATGTCTTCCAGCTTTGATGAGTATGGTGCCGGTAAATTCAGGACGCGTAAATCGAGCGCTGCGAGCGCAAATCGCGAAAGAGTGGATCATGTCCAGGAGCGCTAGGGCCTCGGAGACTTTGTAAAGCGCTCCCACCCGCTGCACCACATCTGCTCGCAGCTCTTCGATGATGCCCGTGGACATCAGCAAGATCTACAAAGGAGCAATCTTAGCCCAGAGTTGTAGTATCGAGCTTGAAGGGTGACTCGCCTCATTGCTAGAGTCGATGACGCGCTGATTGAGCTTTTTCAAGGTCAGCGTAGTGAATGAGAAGCTTTTCTTATTGTGGCTCCTGACAACGTTTGTAAAGGTGTGCGGCAGATCGCGGGAAGTCATGCCAGGAGTCGCTGCCAGACGCAGCTGGGTACGCGAGCTTAATCTTCAGCGCAACGGTTGCCACCTACTGTCCCTCATTGTCATGACTCACCGAGGCGCTGCTGTCGTTGCACGCAAGCTCGATGTCAAGCTTGTACTCCTCTACGTATCGATTGAGAAGCCCATGAATGTCTCCAATGTTCTGCCAGAGGATCAGCGAGTAAGTTGCAGACTTCGACACTCGACAAATGCCAACTCTAGAAAGCATTTATCACCTCTCTATAGGTGTCGCGGGCGATGTCCAAAAGAGGCGAGCGGGATGCCTTGACAGCAAAGAGCCGTGTGTTGCGATTTGCAAGGTTGTGCTTACTACTGGAGACCATCAGATCTGGGTTGATACAACTCTGTATTTTGTCGACAATGTCATCAACCATCGGATTGCTGAGAAAACTTTCAATGGCCCGCAACAGTCCCGAGCGAGCTCCTTTGAGAGCTGTGCGGAGCGAAGTGACTTGGCGCAGCAAGGCTAAGAGTTCAAGCACCTGGCCAACCTTTGAGAATGTGTGGCTCGGGTCGCCGACACTGTGCTTCCTTCCTGGTTCCAAGAGCTGCCTGATGAGCTTGTCGAGGTCAATATTGGTGTGGGCAAATGCTTTGAAATTGCTTTGTAGAGCCTCGTGACGATCTTCGTCTTCTATCAGCTCGGCGACCGTGTCAAGGCGGGACTGGATGGTGGATTGGTCCGTGAGCGGCGCAAGCAAATTCATGACAAGGAGACGCCGCGCCATCGGTGTGCGTGTGCAGTCGAGAACGCCTGCAAGATTGCGTTAGGACGGCGATATTCAGCTTGGGATGAAATCTTGGCCCTTGAAAAGTTCCTACCTAGCAGACAGTCCTTGGACTTGCGATCCACCCCGTTGGAGACCAGCTCGAGGTTTCGAGCGGATTCTGTGTCAATTAACATGGTTCCTAAAGAAACCAACGGCACATATGAGCGCTCAGTGTGGCTTGGCCGAGCGCTGGTAACGTACCGTCTGGAGGACTGTAGCGAACGCGTAACGAACGATGGGAGACGGCATAGTTGCTGCTGCGCTCTATGTATCTAACAACGAGCGAAGAGTCTGGTGTGAGCTCTACTTCTAGGCTACTGCGGCCACGAGATGGTGGCTGTCAGGCGTGCAACTCTGCGCACTTGAGTAATGCGCCGCACGCTCCGAGGGCATAGTAGCGGTCTCCAATCGCCTTGAGTATCGCGACCCGCGACGTAGCTCCCGCAAGCAACTCGGTGTCAGCGTGAGCAGAAGTGTCTACCGAGGCCGAGCTTTCGCGCTCTCTGCTCATGGACTCTGTGAGCACATCGTCCACGAGCACTTTATCCAAAACCTTGGCTGCGTGCTCAGGTCAGCCACGGACGCATGCATCTTGGCGCTTAACAGTTTTTTTCTCACCGCCATCCTCGTGATTCCAAAATTTTCTCGCGAAGGGTAGAATTCCCATATCGAACGTGTCTTCGATTGTGCACACAAGGATCGAAGACTCGATCGCTGTGCCGTTAGATCCGGGATCTGGATAGTCCGAGGAAGACGCGCATGTATCCGGCACGAGTACAGTAGCTGGAGGATGAAGCATCAAATGATGCACGGTCCTCACGTATGTCTGTAGGCAGAACGAATGAAGGCCTCTGAGCTTACTTTCGGTATCACGATGACGTACACATACCTGCGTATCCGCAAACTGCGCATCGAAATCAATGTCTCGAGACTGTCAGCAGCTGCCTACGCTTTTCATGCAGGGACAATGAGTGTGATTGATTACCTGCGTAACAATGACTTGGCCAGTGTCTTCTTCCATGGCAGCTATGCCAACCTCACGCCCGACCCCTCGATTCTCCAGAATGGCACATATCCACGAGCTTGGAGGCACACCCAGCTCGGAAGCAGCAGTGTTCGTCCTACCAGCACTCTGCGCCGTGGATGGTCTGGCACGCCGGCGAGCAGAGGTCAATGCCCGAGCGCTACGTGACAAAGCGGAGCTAGTTCTCTGTGCGTCCGTGCGAGAGCTTGCGGGCAAAGCGTCTAGCGGAACAGTAGCGTTGGCAGGTCCACTGCGTACAGTCACCTCACTGGGTGCAGGTGAGATGCTACGAAGGGAGGGAGTGAGCGGTGCCTGGCTCGTCGCGGAACCTACGGATCGGCCGGAGCGATGACGACCAGATGTATGCGCACTGCCAGATCGCGCTGTCAAGGGTGTCAATGCATCCGATGGGTCTTGTCCTTGCGCAACGCGTCGCGAAGAAGGCTGCGATGCTTTGCTGGAGGCTGTGCCAGCTGAAGACCCACGGACGACAAGGTTCGGAATGCGAAAGGGCTGACCAGACAAGGGGCCAGGCCGCGAGAATGGCGCCGCCTGCGCAGCATCCGGCCGGCTGTGGACGTCGGAGGATTCGAGGGGGTTCATCGTGACACTGTCAAGCATTCAATGATACGCGCTTGGATCTGGGTGTGATCTGTCATGATGTGATGGGAAGGATGCGAAGACCGGTGCCAAGAGTGAAAGACGCTGCTTCCAATCCATGCAGGCAGGTGCTGTTATACAACCGAACCGACGACGCAGTCACGTGGGTGGAGATGGTTGTTCACAGGGCGCACCCACCGTGAGTCGCGACGAATCACTTCTATCGCGGTGGGCCCGCCCCTCCTCCTTCCCTTGTTCTCACCTGCCGTCACAAGTCTGACAAGTGATGATGAGCACGGCATAAAGTCGAATGGTCTTCCTCAATCACGGCAGCCGTGACTGTACCGAGACCTTTTTGTGCTGCTGATGATGAAACTCCCGGTGATGGGCTGGCTGCACGCCCGCTTGCGCGCCCAAGATCAAGCTATGTGTACCATACAGCTGCTGTGGATGTGTGTGGCTTGATTAGAGCTTGTTCGTACCAGCAGCAGCAGCGGCAGGCTAAGCCAAGTCCCAGCCAGAAAACGCAGCACAGCACACCTCCACACACGCGCGCGTGATTTGCAGCACAAAGGAAGGATCGAGCTGTGGCAGCTGCATCAGGCAGGCAGGCAGGCAGGCAGGCAGGCAGGCAGGCAAGCAAGCAAGCAGACACCTCACTGGGCAACCCCATTCAGCTCAAATCGTGACGTTCTCCTCGACCCGCGCTCACACTCACCACTCACCGCTCACCACTCTCCCTATCACCTATCACTCATCACTCATCTTTGCGGCTTCCTCTCGCCAACTGCTCCACGTCCGGAAGCCAGGTGAAAAGGCGAACAAGGTACAAAGGCAGGCCACATTCGCTGGCTCTCCGACTTTCGCCCTCCACGACTGTACAACAGGCGCGCATCCACTCGCACACCACCCACCATCACCCTCATCACATCGTCACGCGCTCCTTCGTAACCGCAACAATGTCGGTGATTTACCAAGCAGCAGTTCCTGCTCCCGACGATGATGTGCCCACCTCCACATCGAGGGAACAAAGAGAGACGGAAGACCAGATTAGCGACCTGTTTACCCCTTTCAGATCATCCTCATCCTCA